TTCATTCTGTGGCATGATTGCTGACAGCAGCGAGACCCTGTCAGCACATGTTGACTGTGCTCAGACAAATGCAGTGTTTGCCAATTTGCAACAGGGTGTAGCAAGTTCAAGGTGAAAAACTTGGAACCATTTTACCTACGAGATCACCTTAACCCGTGTGTACCCACTTGACCACTTCAATCTGCAGAACAATATTCATTTCACATTTGTAAGAAATTGATTGTTTTGGTGTGACAGCACCCACACTTTGGAACTCCATGCCTATTGACATCAGGCAAATATGTAAAATGATGACATATGTTTTATCCAGGCTTTAAGCTTATTTAATTAAAATTACTTTTGAATATTTTAGAAGTTTTCAACTTTTTTTTTACTGATAATTTCATCAGTTTATTCTTTTTGTAAACGCCTTTGAGGTTGGGTAATCCCTCCCCTGCCCCGCAACAACCAATACATATATACATTTTGTGAAATAAATAAACACAATTATTTAATGTTGCCTTCTCATCCTGTCATATCATACTCATAAGGCAGAAATCTTTGCCCATTGGAGCTTTGATCATGAATCTGCCACTCTTAATCTGGCATCTGCCTTGGGGTTTGAGAATGGCATGATGGAGGATTTGCCTCCCATGTATTATTGTTTAACTGAGCTTCACTGCCAAGCAACAAACAATCTGAGAATTGCATACAATTAAGTTTCAACAAATAAGAAAAGGTCAGTTTGTTTCCCCCATAGGGAATGCATTTGCCTTAGTTGTGGAATGTGGAATGTGTCTGATATAGTAGGTGATTAAAAAGCATTTATTTACATAGCAGCAAAAGTATCAATAACATCCAGAAAGAAGAGGCCTATAATGAGAGAAATCTTATTGTATTGACATCCTTTGACTTTATGCAAATGTGTGTGGGGGAATGAGCAGATCTTTTGTGTTGTTATTTACTAGACACCAAATCCCTCCATGCTCCAACTTCCCATGAAGTTAAAGGAAACTAATGAAGCTTGCAATGACAAAGTACAGTGAGATTCAGGCAGTGAACTTGTAGCCATAGCTTTACGGGCAATCTGAAAGTCATATCCCCTAAATATATCTGTAGGCTACAGCATGTTCCGGACAGAGTTCCTGGTAAAAGAGATGGGGGGGGAACAGATCACAAGCTGTGATGAGGGTTGTTTTCATCCGTCTACAGTTACAGTTATTTCCTTTCATAAATACATCCTGTTTAAGCTACACTTTGGCTCCATAATGCATGAGAGTGAAAGGCACAGAATAAACTTGGTATGGAAATAGACCAGATGTCCCCATTTCATTTCCATGACAATATGCAGCAGCATTTGAATTTATTTATTTATTTATTCACCCTGCCTCTGCATGCAAGCCCTCACAATGCAGCTTTTCTGAGCACAATAAAAACCTTAAAAGCAAAACAGTTGAACGTACACAATGAAAAGACAAGTTTTCAGTCACGTATAAGGGGATGGCAATTGACAACAAAGTTTGGTAGGATTTTAAAAAGTGTTCAGGGACGGCTTAAAGGTCACAAAACAGGTAAGCAAGGAGAGTTCTCAGGAGAGAATGACAGGTGTAGGGCCACCAGTGAAAAGACTCTGTCCCTGATCTCTAGAATGATTAACCTGAGTGACGGGTCAGACAGTGTGTTTATATGGGGTGGGGGGTGCGGGGGTGAACATCATCATTTCAGAATTCTGAAACAGTCATAAAACTTTAATACAAAGGCATTTTTAACAATATTTTCATACCTGTATCTTAATCAAAATAATTTTAACAATGATTTTTTCTCTCTTTTTTTGGGCCAAACCAGGACAATAAGTGCAAGGGTCTGTTAGGCTGTTCTAAGGGTCAATGGGGGAGCTATTTGCCAGTAATTTCTTTGTAAAGCAAGAAAGTCAATACCCAAGCTGCCATGTATTCAAACCAATGGTGCTTAGGGAATACAGTGGTACCTCAGGTTAAGAACTTAATTCGTTCTGGAGGTCCGTTCTTAACCTTAAACTGTTCTTAACCTGAGGTACCACTTTAGCTAATGGGGGCCCCCGCTGCCGCAGCACCGCCACCATACAATTTCTGTTCTCATCCTGAAGCAAAGTTCTTAACCCGAGGTACTATTTCTGGGTTAGCGGAATCTGTAACCTGAAGCGTCTATAACCTGAAGCGTATGTAACCCGAGGTACCACTGTAATGCAACCAAACTGGATAAAAGCGACTGCTCTTGTGGACAACAGAGGAAATTACAAACATCTTCTGTCTTGCCCTTCATTGGAATCTATCTTAAGCTGAGTCAAACTGTTGTTCCATCTAGTAGACACTTAACTAGCAATGGCATTCAGAAAGGAACTTCCCCAGCTATGTCTGGAAATGTCAGAAACCTTTTGCACCCAACTTTACACAGCACATGCAATAAAGTAGTACAAAATAGCATCCCTTCTTTGACAGTCCCCATGTTGCCTTGCACTCATTGGCCAAAATATTTTAACTCTGGAGTATTGCATTTCAGTATTGTGTTTTTTATGTTGCACACCACCTTTTATATTTTCGGCAAAAGTACAATTTCTAAATATTTAAATAAATGAATAAAAACTATATTTTTACATACTCCCACTAGTCAATGGTGTTAGGCTGTGACCCTAAGGAAATCCACTTTGAAGTTAGCTCCACTGAAACCAATAGACTCCCAAGTTAATGTGTGGTGTACATACAGTATTAAAAGAATTCTTACTGAGACCTCAGCATCTGAATATGACACAAAGTTTTGTAGATCCCATTACAGATCAAATACACCATGCATACTTATACAAAATGCTTTTTTAAGCTGTTGTATAAGGGTATGATTATTCTGTAACAATTCAAGTGAAGTCTGTTGTAATGGAACCAGTTATACTTAATTACCACTTACATCCCCATCCAATATATATTACCAAATGCTTAACAAAAACGGGATATTTTTGGATAGCTTTAGAGAATGAGAGAATTTAAAGAGCTAGGATAATACCATCAAATTGTAATGGAAATATAATCTATCATGTCGAGAATGCAATATAGGATTTGCTTATATTTTGTACAGATGCATTGAAACTCAGATAAAAGATAAGAAAATCAGGAATAAAACTGACATTTGTCAAGCTGAAATGCTGATTTTTACATCTGATTTAGATGGTCGTCTTTGATACAGACCCAAATACACATCTGATGAAATTGAAAGAATAATGTGTGGTAAGTGTTCAAAACACTATCATTAAAATGCTATTTTTTAAACAAATGTCACATAATGTTCATGTGCATATGTATGGATGTGCTATTTCCATGTGGCAATCCCTGCATACTGCAACATCCCTGCTCACTCACATTAGGTAACTGCCTTTCCTGTATTATTTTGGTGCCTACTTTTGCTGTTGTTGAGGTAAACGTACCCAAACGTGTAAAGTTGATGGGTGGCTTAATCTGTAATTTTAGTTGAGCATGTAATTTTAGCTTAGAATATATCCTTTTAGCTGTTGATTTCAATCATACCGCAGTTTTATAAACTTGTTTTCAACACCAATTTTTTATTGAGAATATTAATGTATCTTTGATCATCTTTGTAAGCCACTTAGAGGTTTTATTTACACTTAAGCATTATACTAATTTTGTTTTGTCTTCTTCTTGTTGTTATTTTTAAAAAGGCCAATAAGATTTTCTCAAACATAGAACTCCAAAAAGAGTTGTGAATTTGTTCATAAACCGTACAGCACTAAGTGAAACACACCATTACTGAATGTAAAGTGATCATTTTTAGTAGGGTTTTCTTTTTCATGCAGCTTCTTTGAAACTGGCTATTTGCCAGTTATATGCAAGTGCAATGTGGCTACTTGAACTTCATGAAGTTCAGCACCTCATTGATCGGCAAAGCACCATTATAAGATTGGAGCTTCCTTATTAAATCCTGTTTTGACTGAGCACTGGGTCCCCCCCCCCCACTCTGCCAAAGCCCATTACATTACTATTCTGCTTTTACTTGAGGCAATGTAACGTAACTTAACAGTTAAACTGCAGAAATGTGTTATGATTTTATTATGGTATATTTGATTTTGTTAAAAAGATACATGCCTCGCCTGAAGAAATGAAAGAATGTCTATTAAAAAAAGCTAATTATGAATATTTTTCAAACGTGTCTATGCAGTTCATAGAACTGCCCAGAGGCAGAGCTAATCTCTACTTTGTGCATTGTGATATGATGCTTCACAACTATTCTCGCTTGGGTTCCCACTCCCCTCCCCAAATAACACATTGTTTCTACAGGTGTGATGGGTGCATATGCTGGACTTTCACATGTCATATAGCTCTTATTTCATGGAAGTGCACTTTTCAACAAATGTGATTTCATAGCGCCATTTGTTACTGATAATAGTTGGAGGTAGGCTTTTGTACTGTAGCATGACATTGGGACACGTTCAATGCTACAGTTAGTTAGCCATGTTCTCCACAGTTCCCCTTTCCACCCAGGGGTCTGTCCTCTCAGCAAAACAAGCTGCAAATGTGCTCTGCCAGACAGTACTGAGGTACCTGGCTGCAGAATGGGCCTAAAATAGAACAACCCCACAGGAGCTGTTAAACTTCATAAAAGTTTGCAAGGTTAAAGAATACAAAATAGCAATTGTTGTACTGCTTTCAGGGCTGGCTAAAAAGTGTGTGTGTGTGTGTGTGTGTGTGTGTGTGTGTGTGTGTTTGTGTGTGTGTGTTTCAGCATGTAGTGGAATGATGGGAGCTGCAGTCCAGCAACCCCTGGAGGGCTGCAGGTTCATCACCCCTTAAATAAGTGAATTTAATATGCTGAAGGGCAATATATAAATGCTTTAAATACACAAGCCAATTTTAGCGTCTATATGTACAATCTGCAAATGGTGCTAACACCATTCCTTCCTTATCTAGCACTGCACAGAAATGGATACCAGGCACCCACAGGTGCAAACTTAATTGCCATTGTCAAAATAAATTAAAAAATTGTCCAGTAGCGCCTTAGAGAACAACTAAGTTTGTTCTGGGTATAAGCTTTTGTGTGCATGCACACTTCTTCCGAAAGCTTATATCCAGAACAAGCTTAGTTGGTCTCTAAGGTGCTACTGGACAATTTTTATTTTTTTTATAATTTATTTCGACTGTGTCAGACCAACACGGCTACCTATCTGAATCTTGCCATTGTCAGTTAACACTGAACCTAAAGTTGAAAGAATGGCGACATTCTGCTTGGAGAATGACTTCTCTCTAGCAGCGTAAATGCAAAATTTTATCCCGAACAACAGGAAAATATATATGCAGCTGTCCGTAAAGGAAAATAAAAGTAACCACAGGCTTTGTTCCAATACTGGAAACAATGTTTAACTCTTATCATCATTAGCCATTGCTGCACTATAGTCCTGTCCTTAACTTGACAAGGAGACTGTGGACCACATTGAGGCAAGACAGCCACACAAGCTACAAGTTATTGACATTCTGTGGTGTAAGAAACAGCAGCAGTTACTGCAGCATCCTGTATCTGGCAAGGAAGGCGTGTCTGGCTCTGCTTGTATTTGAGGCAAGTGTTTTCACACTCCCTTTCTCTTACTGCAGACAGCATAATGTTGCATCAGATAGAACAGCCTCAAGACTCCTAGGATTTTAAACAGGAGCGGGAGAATAGAACCTGCTGGATTCACCAGCGGCATGCAGTTTTCTTGCCTCTCATGCTAGCTAGTCCATGTTACACTGCTGTCTATTAACAACGTGGCTGAAATATGAAGACTATGGAAATACATCTGAATTATGTAATAGTCGCTGTTCAAATTGCCATTCATAATGCGACATTAAAATTGATTTTGTCTAAAATGGCTATGGGTTGTTTAAGGCAAAACAACAGAAAGCCTTTTTAAAATGCCATATGAATGATCACAAATTCAAATTTAAAAAGCTAAGGATTCACAATGAAAAAGCAAATGTATTTATTTTAATGTGGGAATGTGTTTATTTCAATGTCTGCACCATTGCACTTTCAAATAAACTAAATTCAATTTGCCTGGATGTAAGATCTCAGATTGAAATAAATGCTACATTGAATGTATTTAATGGAAATTCTTTGAGATTCCATGTACAGTGTGTAGCATTCCTATTGATGCTTACCATTCACAGCAAGCATATTTAATGCAGAAAATCTGATATTCCAATTTTAACAATCAAAAGTCTCACAAATATAATATCAATTGCAACAAATATTGCTGTTTAGTCAGGGTTGTAAGTATGCTATGATATGGTGGGAGCACTCATAAATGCTTACAACTGGCAGCAGTTTAACTGTGTTGTTGTTTTCTGAGGTGTGTTTGTAGCTCTCATTGTCATGATGATATATGACTGAAAGTGTGTGGGCGTAGCTTAGCAAAGTCGCAAAATCCCCAAAAACTGTTGTACAATATTTCAGTAGTCAGATAGTTAGCTTCCAGCTCATAGACCCTCTCAGGACTAGCATTAATAATAATAACAGGCCTTTTCTGTGATGGCTCCGTTTGTGGGCTACTCTCCCCAAAGAAGCTTGCCTGGTGCCTTCATTACATATCTCTGTTGTAGGGTGGTATTGTTTCATTTCTTACTATGTTTTGCATCTCCCTGTGATTCTCAGATGAAGGGAAATATATTTTTTAAAAAATAACAAGAACAATCTTTAAAAATTGTAAACAATGGCAAGCAAATTCCATGAAATAAGAGAAATATTGTAGATTTGCTTAGCTTTTGTAATGTATTCATGTCAAAGAATTTAAATTTTTGTAGGATCTGGCTTGTCTTGGAACAGCGTTGTTGTTATTTTAAGTGTAGAGATCTCCATATGACCAAGTCTATTTGTATGGTAGGTAATTTTGAATGGATGTGGTGACAATCATATACAAGTGCTTTTTTTTCATTAGGGAAAGTATATAAAGTTTCAAGCTGGCTCTTATTAACCATTGGCAATGAAGTATATCATCACTGACTGAGGGGGGAAATGTTATCCTTCTTTTGAAAAATACCAGGGCTTCCAGTCAGGTGTAAACAACCATAATTTTTTACATACAAAAGTCATTGGACTTTATCCAATGCTAGTCCTACTCAAAGTAGACCCACTAAGTTTGTCATGTTACTTCATTTTGATGGGTCTGCTCTGAGTTGGACAGGCATTGGATACAGTGCATCAAATCTTTCTTTTGGGTATGCGTCTTTCCTTTGGAATAATAAGACAATTCTGCAATAGAAAGGCAGCCTAAAGTGGTTCTACTCAGAAAGCTATGATAGGTTTGTCAACAAATGCATGATCCCCTCTCAACCATATAAACAGGATATGTTTGTAATGAAGCTAGATTTTATCCAAATACTGACATGGGAATTGCAAAATGCAACCTTTTAGAAAGAAATGATGAACAAAAAGCTTAATTCAAAGAGCTGAGAGGGCTTTAACTGCCTGTGGAATTCATTCTTTCTTTAGAACATCAGGTTTAAAGGTTTGTTCACACTTACCTCTTAATTCTATTGTTTTCAAAGTAAAATCAACTGCACTATTCAGAGATAAGGGGGAAGTTCTTTTCCCATGGCAAGACCATGATATCTTAATTTCATTCCCTCGCCTTGTCCCCAAAGCTCAGTTCTTGAATAAAATGTCATTCAACAATTGATTGAAACAGGCCTCATTTTCCCTGTTAGTTGTTTCCTGCCTGCTACATCTCCTTCTCTTCTTACACATTCCCCTTCATTTTTAAATCTAAGTCAGGGCTTCCCTCAATGTTGTGGATGCTGATGACTGTCAGTATATATAACTCATTCTTCTATCACGTAAGGTATGTGGCATGTGATGGAAACCAATTAGGATCAATGTCAACAAACAGTTTTCCTACGACTGACATGGAAAAACCATGACAGAATAATAACGTACATTAGACAGCAATCTCTGAAGAGAAACACATCTCCAGGCAGCCATTTTTGTATGCTACAGTGTCTTAATATGGTGGCTGGCCTTCTCTCAACTGAGCACACATTAAAGCTTCCAGGAGACACGTCTATCTGTCTATCTAATTACACCTGATATTGAGAGCAGCTCAGCTTAACATGTGTTGTGATCTGAATGTGAAAGAGTGACAGGGAAACAAAACAAAACTGAAACGGGCTCATGTCTTGTATGAAATCTGTACAGTAAAGGTTCGCTTTTCACTTACACTGCCTGGGTATTTTACAGCTTTGTCAGTGCTTATAATGTTCAGATCCTCCAAGTATCCCTATTTTCCAGGGACAATCTCAAATTCACAGAAGCCGTCCCAGTTTCTGATTTGATCCTGGAATGTCATGTTTTTCCTTAGGACATCCCTGTTTTCATCAGATAAAAGTTGGAGGGCATGGAGTTATGCAACCCCCGAGCCAGGAGATAAGAAACTATACAACCTTTAGAAGACATCAGAAGGCAGCTCTGTATAGGGAAGGTATTTATTATTTAATGTTTTATTATGTTTTTCTGTATCTTAGAATCCACCCAGAGTGGCTGGGGCAACCCAGTCAGATGAGTGGAGCATAATAATAATAATAATAATAACAATAATAATAATAATAACAATAATAATAATATAGGACATCCCTATTTTGATCAGAGAAATGTTGGAGGGTATAAATGTTCACAGACACCTTCAACAAATAAATATATAACATTCCATTCTTTGGGTTTCATTCAAGATGCTCCTTCCAATGTTCTTCATGCTAGTATCACTGTGGACAATTCGTATTTTGTAAAGATGATCTAAACTTGGAATTCTAAAGAACAACTGTAGCCGTGTCAAAAGCCATATTGTAGGTTATCCTAGCAGCACTTTTGACATCTTTTTTTACACAAACCATTGTGTAAACTCTTCTCAGTTTTAAAACTGCCTGTGCCAGGAAGCACTGCTGTTCCAGAACATACAGAACTAGCTGCATGGTTCTTTGAATCACAAGCCATATGATTTTGCCCTTAAGTCCATTCAGGAAAAATAAATTCTACAGTATCTAACCTGATGTCATTTTAGTTGTATTGGTGCTCTCTGAAACACATATTTCCAGTCTTCCTAATTTCATTTTATAGCAACAATGTGTGCCATCCTCTTCTTTCTTTTCTTTCTTTCTTTCTTCTCTATCTCCTCTCCCCCTTTCCTTAATTTGTTCTAAAATCCATTCTTATCCATCTCTTCTACTCATGACTATGACTGTATTAATTTAAAACTAAACCGTTTAGGGCAATTTCTGTTGTTTACTTACTTTCTACTCTAAATTAATTCTGTCTCTAAATCTGCAGCTGTCCAGAAAGAGAAGCTCCTGGATGATACATGTAAAAATGCTGCTTAGATTCCTCAAAAAGATAATTTTGATGACAACCTGATTAAGCCAGTATAAATCACTTTGTCTACTGAACGCTGCCAGCTTAAGCTATACTAGTGCATACCTTTCCCCGCTGCTTCGCCATTATTTTCAATTAACTTAGAGAATGGACTTTTATCTCTTGGTGTATGCCTGCCTGTTTGCAGCATCTCAACCCCAATTGCCTTCTCTGTGCCAATTATTCTTTCCCATTAGCTATTAGCATTATCATAATTACTGAAAAACCCACCTGTTCTCTGAAGGTGAATCACTGCAGCTATAAATACCTCATCCCACTCTTTGCTCATATGGCACTTTCTCCTCAGTATGCTATTGCTTCTGGCCTTTGGATTGCAATTTCTTTATATAATTGTTGTTCAGCACCATCTTGCTCTTAGGTTAATATCATGATACACCTATGAACACAGCATACATTTTCAAAAGCATATACTTGATTGAAATGTTCTTGCCCTAACTTTTAGGCAGCTAGGAAGGTGTGCCACTTTCCAGTAAAAGACTCTTGATCAAGCAAGGTCCCCCCCCCCCCCCAAGTATTAATTCTTTCCTGTCTGGAACATGATTATGGTGATGGTGCTGATTATTTCTTACCTTCCTTTCAGCCAAAAGTGCCAGGGTGGGCTACAAGAAAGGATGGGGAAGAAATTTGATTCACATTGCACATAAAGATGAACATACACTTTCTGAAAGAGTATGCAAAAAAAGTCATCTTTTGGAATTCACCCTTGTCCTATTTTG